AGTCTCAAAATTGAGTACTCATCTCTAATATTAGGTCACCTGACTTCTTCTGCCACTAGATGTTGGAACCTAACAAAAAACGTAAAAATGGTTTCCAATAAGATCAGAGCCGTTTTGAATAAGGTCCTGCATAATTGCGATATGGCTGTTTTTCTGGTGAGGAAAGACGATTATTATATTAAAGTAAATGTAACATAACATAATGTAAATTTTTCAATGCCCAGATTGGAAACATCTTGAAATGAGAACTTCCTGATGCGGTTGAGGAAAACTAAGCTTTTGGAAAACAATGAGTTAAATAAGTTGACGTTGACTTCAGCTGCATCATTCCATCACCTCTAACCTTTTCTGTGATCACTCATTTTAAATGTTAGTATAGAACTGTCGTTTTCAACCTGTATATATGTAACCGTAGGACCAAAACAGAGATAAAAAACTGTTTCTCTGATAATGATATCACTTCGCATATGGCTGAGCTACAGTTTTCAGATGTGATTTACTTGTTTCCTTTCAGCTGCAGGTTTCAGTCTGCCGTGATTCACTAACTCGCACGGTGATAAAATGTGTCGTATTTAATCACTGACACTTAAGTTTTTACTGCTGCTGTGTGTAATCAGGCTGCTGCTGTCAGACACTCGTATTTCAAACTCACACACAAGTACAGTTACACAGTTCTGATATAACGCTAAAATTACAGCATATGACTGAGTTGAACATAAAAGTAAAAACAAAACTTCTTTAACATACGATATTTACCAAAGGTATGTGGCCAAATGTTTGCATTTACACTTGATATCAGAGAGAGATACATTCAAGACATATGAAGTGGTTCAGTGTAAAAACACTCTCATTGAAATCACTTCTGTTCTTGCACATACATCCTATGCTGCTGATTGGATAACACTGAAAGAAGAAAGACACCAATGTTGTCACCGAGAATCAAGTACTCACACATGGAGGTTCGAATATGTCAGGACCTTTCAAAATGACTGATATGATTGTTTTGTAATCTGCCACCTGTGTGGTTAAGGTTTGGTTTGGTTTAGACACAAAACCTGCTTTTTTTAGTTTAAAGAAAGATGGCGATCATAGTTAAAAGAAGCTGGTGGGAGACGGTTGTGGACAGTAGTCTCTGGTGTCAAAGTCAGACACTGTTTGGATGCATATCTTGTTTCAGAAAAATACTCATAACAGAAATTTTTTACCAAATGATTTTGGGCTAAACTGAAGTGTGTGTGTGTGGTCACAGGGTTTTCATATGACTGACATTTCTAAAGGTCAAAGTAAAACACACTGAGCACCTCCATATCAGATTAAGTTGGTCTGCTTTGACTAAATGTCATCTTTACGTGTCACATGCTAAAAGCAATCGAGCAGGTTTCCAGCTGGCTGAACTTCATCGAGCATCAGAGAAACAGCCGGCAGGTTCAGACTGGAGATTTCAAGAGGAAATAATCAATAAAGTTGCTTGCTGTGACAAGTTATGTCCCTAAACTAAGTGGATCCTGAATTTACTGCAGATGTTTCAAATTCTATTGGAGATCACAAAGTCACCAAAACATGTTAAAAGTTGGAGAACCATATTGGAATTAGATAGATTGGCATGATCATCATCAGGTCAATTTGTCCAATGGTTTATGACCAGATAAGTACCAGTATTAGTAATAAGCAAACATGCTACCATTGAAATGGTAAACATTTCCTAGACATCACACTGTTAAAAGTGTCATAGCATTTAGCTCAAATCATTACTGTGAGTACAGAGAGCCACTAACATGGCCGCAGCTCTTAGGCTTGTTTGTACACACAGTGAGAAAAAAGATGTCTTCTAGGCTTGATCATGACCAGATGACGCAACAATCAGACACTGAAAGGAACTAGACTTTATCCTTCTCTAACGATACCATCACAAAACATCAAAACAAGGCAATACAGAACATGAAAAGGCAACAGAGGCCCCAGACTGGTGACATTGTTACACAAACCCCCGAGGCTGACCGTGGCGCCCTCATTTGAGAGAGTGTTTGAAAATGTCTTAAATGAGATGTTTCAGTAGTATAGAAAGAAAGAAGTGTGTGTGTGTGTGTGTGTGTGTGTGTTTTTCTGTGAATCGTTGAATCGAGGACTCTCATTAGTCGCAGGTACGATCTCTCTTCCGGCTCCATACAATTTCTGCTCATCACCAAATAAACAGCATTTGTCAGAGTGAATCTGTCCCTTCTGCTGTGTTAATTTGGCTCCTGGAGGAACAAAATGAAACCCAGACACTAAAGAAACAAACACAGACACTGATCCTCAGCTCTGAGTTAGAGAAGAAGAGAATCGCTCCTCGTTTCAAAGCCAGCTGTGTCGTTCTCGTTGATTGTGTGCAGTTTTGCTGTGAATTTGCATTTGTTTCCTCTGCTTCCTTCACGCCTGCTGAAATTCTCTTTAACACAGTCTGGAGGAGTTTTGATGGCGAAGCACACATGGAGCTGATTTCCATGAAATAAACACAAAGACCCCCAGAGGGTTTTTAATGGGGTTTACACTTTATTCTTCATCAAAGAGAGACGACACACTTCTCTCCGTTCATGCATATTTGGACAAAAAAAGTGTTCATTCTGCAAACAGCAGAGTTTGTTCTGAATACCAACCAGTTAATGGTGTTAACTTTTGTTCAGGTGGGCATGCACATGCAATTCAAAGCATTTTTTTTAATCATTGTTATGGTAAATAACCTCTACTTATATAGTGCTTTTCCAGTGGTGCAAAGTAACTAAGTACATTTACTCAAGTACAGTACAAATTAGAAGTACTTTACTTGAATATTTTATGCTACTTTACACTTCAAATCCACAACATGTCAGAGGCAAATATTGTACATTTTACTCCACTACATTTGTCCGACAGCTTTAATTACAAGTTAGGGGAGACCGGGGATGGTTATAACATGGGGAGAGTTATAACAGATAGGAGTTAGGTGATTATTTCAGTATTTACCTACTTCCTCCCAGATCAGGCCTGGTTGTTATCAAGTCTGGAAAGAGGTGTATTCAGAAAATATATAGAAAAAACTGATTTTGAGTTAAGAAAGTAATTTTTGTTTAGTATCTAGACTGTTGCATGTAGAATAGTTTGACTTATATTAGATTGAAATATAGTTTCTCAGGCAACATGTGATGCATTTCCTTTCTAATTTCAAACACCTATGGTAATACAGCTAGTTAAACATTGGCTGACAGGGGTGGGGTGGGTTGTAACACTTCTTTAAAAAGTGTTACAACCATCCACGATACATCAAACAGGAACCTTCTTGATTTTAATATTTTCCAGTTTGCTCTATGCAGTCTGGGTCCACCAAGCCAGCACCACGGGGTTACCGGCATTAATTTGTCAGCACTGTGACCAGCACCTCCCATTCACATTTTGTACACATGTTGGCGAATGTATCGTCACTCGACCTTTTCCATACTCGGTCTCCGCTGGTGGAGAGGGTAGAAAAGTGTATGGGCAGCTTGTGAGAAGTGCCTGTGTGCAAGAAAAAGTCCCGATACGCCAAAAAGTAAAATATAGAAGTGCAAGAATACCGGCCCACTTCACGCACTGACTGTGACTCTGAATAAGAAAATAAAAACACTGACACACACACACACCTCTTTTTAGTTAGACCTAAGGATGTACAAAGATGATCTTTAATTAATTACATTTTAGTAGTATTTATTAAGTATACTTTTAAGTAAGTTTATTCTATAGATAAATTTACATACACATATACATATACATATTCTTTTATATAACTACCAGTTTTGGAAGCTTATCATATAGTGTGGCATCTATTTTTGATTCTTTTGTGTGATTGTTACAACCTACCCCAGCATGTGTTACAAGGGAACACATTGCATTTGACACCAACTCACGAGGTCTGTGTTATTCTTTTAGAGGATTGAATTGGTGCCATTTGTAGTGAACAACAGTGTTGGCACTTTGTATAAAAATTTGAAAACTGTAGCTAAAAAATTCAGTGAGTTAGTTACTGAAACAAAAAGTGTTGCAACCATACCCGGTCTCCCCTAGCTTTTTTTTTTTTTCCAACAACAAAGTATCTTCAGTCAGGGACTCCTTCAGCTCTGCAGCAATAAGGACCGTTACAGAAAGTAATTCCTCTTAACCAGTGTGCAAACTATGCCATAGCTTTCGGGGGAGCTCACTTTTTTTCCCCCGGGATTCTTACTGCTGACTCATTATTAGCTGCAAGCACGTAGGCCTGGGGCTGACTGTGCAAGTATCAAGCATGTTTGTCTTATTATAATAATAATAATTATCATATGTAGCCATTTTGCTACAATTACGCTCAGGGTGCGAACTACGGGGGAGCCAGAGGGAGCCGAGCTCCCCTTAATAAGACATCAGCTCTCCTAAACGCATGGTTTGTGATATTTTGGGGGACTCTCTAAGATATTCACAGCGTGCATTATTGCAATTAACTTCTATATTTCTCTGTCATCGTGGATCTTGCATAAAAGCAGGAGCGACAGACTTCATCCAGCCAGTCAGAGGGAACGTTTTGCAGGACTTTTACATGGAGTATTTTCTCAGTATGATATTACAACTTTTACTTAAGTAAAAGATCTGAATACTTCTACCACCACTGTGCTTTTCTACCTCAACTGACAAAGCGCTTTACAATTGACCCCTCATTCATCCATTCACACACACTGATGGCACTGATCTGCCCATCGAGAGCAACTTAGGGTTCAGTATCTTGCCCTAGGACAATTTGACTTGTGGACAGGAGGAGTCAACCAATCGCCAACCCAGAGATCTCAATATGTTGGAAATGTTTTAATTGCGCTCGCTATGACTATGATTTAATTCTGTACCAGACCCAGCCTGGCGTCTGTTACGTGACAACAAAACTCAAGTAGTCATTTGAGCGTGTGAGAGGTGCCTGGTGGGTTTTAGTTTTTGTCTGTCTACATGTGGTGTCTCGTCTTTTCCTCCCTCTCCCTCAGGGCGGAGTTGTGGGCTGCATCTCTGGAACACTGGTCGTTTCCCCCCAGCTGCAGGCAATCTGCGTTTCATACACCTGTCTCCTGTGATCATCAGGACTGGCTTATATACCCTGCCATCTCCTCAGTTCCCCGCTGGATTATTGATTCTAGTTTGTAGGTACACTATGACCATTTTCACCTGCCTCCTGTTACTCTGTACCAGTGTTGACTCTGTTTTCCTGTGCCCTGCTTTAGTGTTTGTTGGAGACCCTGCTTTGCTCCCGTGCCGTTCTGTCACGGAGGACGCCTGGCTGGAGATTTCCCCACCGCAGACTCACTTCTCTGTCAGCCCTGTTACCCGCCTGGCCATGGCCTCGCACTTACCTGCCACCCAATGCCACACCGGAGGAACCTTCTCCCCAGCATCAAGCCTGTCTAACCATATCTTGTGTTCAATAAACTGTGTGAATATCCTCCTGAGCTGTGTTCTTGTTACATCTGGGTTCTGAGCCACAAAATCCCTGACAATTACGTCAGTATTAAACAAAGTGGGCGCTAAATTTTCTCTAAAAAAGAAGGTGTACCCCGCCTTTTGCCCGATGTCAGCTGGTATTGGCTCCAGCCCCCCCGCGACCCTGTACGTCGATAAGCGGTTGAGGATGGATGGATGGATGGATGGATGGAGATCTCCTATTGCATCCAGAGACATTTGTGCCTGCTCCAATTGATAATGCAAATTGGAAATCGATCTGTACATATCAAGACTGTTGCTTTAAGTACTCTTTAGGTAAGTTGACAGAGTTTGTGGTCACAGGTGTGCGTTAGGTGTTCCTTCCAGACCTTTTTTGTTTTGACTGAACCATCTTCATCTCCTCCCGACTTTCCATCCTGTCAGACAGTTTTCATTTCCTGTGCCGTTACAGATGCCAGATGAGTCCTGACAGCATTTGCGTTGATCTCTCTCTCTCCGGTAGCTTCTCAAACGAACCCTCCAGCCACTGACTGATGCTTCTGTGGAAAGGTAATCGATGGCAGGAAAACATCAGCAATAATCACAGCTGCCAGAGGCCCAGAGAGCAGGACCTGACGGAGACAGATCCCCGTCAGAGCAGGAGGGCAGCGGTGATGGAGTCCGTCTGACAGACAAGAGCTGCTGAGACCTTTGATAAGAGTTTGAACGTAACCTGGAGCCTCTAAAGCTGAACGATCAATCAGCCAGATGGATTCATTCAGAGAGGAGAGACACACTGCTGCTGTTGCTGTCATCATCAAACGCCTCCATCAACCATCAACAACCAACAACCAACGCGGAGGACAAATATTGCTGCTTGAAATTTTTAGGTAAAGTTTTTTTTTTTTTTTAAAGGATTGTGTGCTCAAGAAATGAGAAGATTCTTTAATTACATACAGAACATCCTTCCACTGAGCCCAACAGGTATACAATGTATTATAATATTTACAGTGTCATTTGGTTCAGTACCAATACATTACATACTGGTTCTTACTGCTACTTAAATGTAGGTACAATAGAAGAAAATAGACAAGTGAGCACTTTAGAGAAAATGAGAAGTAAATTATACTTGCATTTTTGTAAACACTAGGTTTTTAAGGGTACTGGGAGTGTTTAGAGGTTTGTTGGAAAAGTTAAACTGGTAGAAGTGTCAGTACAATTTATATTCCAGCCTGCATATTTAGTTCTTACTGAGTAAAAAAGGAGAACAGTCAAGATATTTGTGTTATTGTCTGCATGTGTTTTTAAACCATTTAAACTGTCACTTTCACTTTACCCTGTAGTCTTGAATTGCTTATGTATTACTTTTTCTACTTCTTCTTCTGATTATTATTATTATTATTATGTATTTATTTTACTTCTCTATTAGTCTGTAATAATTCTGTCCTTGCGCTGGGGATCAATAAAGTTTTATAACCAGAAATAGGCTATGCCAAAATACTGCAAGTGAAGATATATAATTTGACATATTCGTAGATACATAACAAATGTGTTATTAGAAGTAATTTGGCTTAATGGAAAGGACATTTTTGTATCATTTCAGATTCTGTGTCGACTGCAGCTTCAGTTTTTATAGAAGCTCTAAATAATATACACCATTATGGTAAATAAAACATAGAGCATAATATAAAGATCAGCAGATTGTAGACTTGGATCACAACAACATCTGAGTTCATGGAAAAAATAAAAATAGTTGTTGGCTGGTAGATTACTGCAATAATTCATGTAGTCAGGGCTGCTCGCCAACAACTGCGGATCCATGTGACAACAGCACAGACTGTTCACAGAAACATTCTTATGAAGGAGGATTATATCTGACAAAACCCTTCTGGTTTAAATCCAGACGTGTTGCTTTTTCATGATGGAAAAAGCAGCAGTAGAAGTTTGTACGTGGGGTAAGTACAACACTTCGCAAAAAGACTTGTGCCTATAAAATAAGAACTTGCACACAAAATTTTGCAGTGGTGAAATAAGTACTCTATTTGAGTAAAAGTAGTAGTCCTGAAAATCCAATAATTTAAGTAAAAGTACAGAAGTATTGGATTAAAATTACTTAGTGTCACTAAAGTTGTCGCAGGTAACAGTGGAGATAATTTTAACAACTTTATATACTGTACTTTCAGGTAGCTTGATCTATAAATCACAATTTAATCTATCAGTTGATTGTTGTTGAATATTAGTTATATTTTGTATTATTAATCTGAATCTGTAAAAAGTACCTAAAGCTGTCATATAAATGTAGTGGAGTAAAAAGTATGATATTTTCCTCTGAATTGTGGTGGAGTAGAGGTATGAGGAAATACTCAAGTAAAGTACAACTTCAAATTTGTACTCATGCACAGTACTTGAGTAAATGTACTTAGTTTACATTCCACCGCTACAAATTTGCACAGAAGTTAGATGTGATGATTGATTAGTCGATCAACAGAATATTAGTCTGAAACTATTTTGATAAATCTTGATTAATCATTTTTAGCAAAACTGCAAAATATTTGACGAAGAATTGGCAAATTGTTTTATAAAATATATATACAGAACTTTCAAAACAACCTTCAAAACAAAATTACAAAGTGCTGTACATGATTGAACCAGGATTAAAACATTTCATTAGGCAAGAGGGGAAATAAAATCAGAATTAAAAAATAAAAATAAAACATAATCAGCAGATTAATGGATAATGAAAAATCATTTAGTTGCAGCCCCAATAAGAACAATTTCTTTGGGTTGCCAGGTTTGGAAAATCCCTGGCTGGTGTTTTCATAGGCTAATTCATGGTAGGCAAATAATGCTAAGCCATCAAGTTTTAATGCGTTGTAAAGTGTTTTTAAAACAATTCTAGGCATCAGTTCAGTGGTTAAACAGTTAAACCACTTTTTACTGTCCATGTAAAACGTATTAAACTGACTCGTGAAGCATCAGTAAATCAGCTCTATTAATTAACTATTAATTACAACTTATAAGGCTTTGTAAACCACACCAGGCTGCCCCTTTCAGCCTTTTCTGTAGCGCATCAGTCTCGGTGTCTTACAGCTTGTGGACGGTTTTGACACACGTTATTGTAAGCGGCGTGACGTCAGTCCGTGATTAGAGAGAGACAGAGAGAGAGGGGGAGAGAGAGAGAGAGACAGAGAGAGAGAGAGAGAGAGAGAGAGAGAGTCGGTGTGGACGCAGCAGATCGCGGCGGATCTTCAGACCCTGAGGCAGCAGCTGCACCTTCTCCTCTTTCTCCTCCTCTTCTTCCTCAACTCTTCACCACAAGTCGGGCACCGAACAGTCGGTCCGTGGAGTGACAGACCCGGCGGGGAAACGTGCAACATGCCCGCTGAGCAGCTTCAACCGGGCGCGGTGTCGGTTTTTCCACTTTTTGGGGAATTTACGCGGACGAGCGGAGGAAGTCTCCTGGTGGATCCGAAGCGCAGAGAGCTGTAAGTTGGAGGCGGAAAACTTAATATTCGGTGAAGATCTTGTGTTTTGATGAACATGCTGTGGTGGAGGGCATCGCCCCAGGCATCTGCTGCTGCTGCCGGCCGCCGCTGCGCACCGTGAGGCGCCGGAGGAGCGCAGCGAGAACCCAGGCAGTTTCTCCCAGAGAGTCCTGGGAGGGAAAACAAAAACCTCTCTGCTCCTTAAAATCTGGCCACTCTGGATTTGTCACTTCAGGCTCGTGCGTTGATTTATATCCCGGAGATGCCAGTCATCTCTCGCCTCCGTCCTCCTCTGGGTCAGATCGGGATGGATGTGGCGCAGTGAGCCTGCGGATAATCACAGTTTGGACTTTTTGGTTACCCCTGCGCTCGCGGCTCTCCCTCATGCAGCTCCTCCGGCTGGCCTGGGCTCTGACTGCCGCTGCGGTCTGCTTCCTCTTCCTCCTGGTCATCCACAACCAGATCCTGAGAGAAGGTACGGCTCTGTAGTCTGGTCACAGACTTTGGGATGGTGTGTGTGCGTGTGTGTGTGTCTGTGTGTAAGGTCAAACTGAGTGTCAACATGCCTAAAATCAAATCTATTCAGGGTTGTTTTTTTTTGACGTTAATCTGAGGATCTGTGTGCGCGCAGTCCTAGGTGTTTTGCGCACCTGTCGTCCCGTCTGTGTGCGCAGCAGTGGATGGTGATATGACAAAAAAAGGCAGGAGATGGAGAACAGACAAAACAGCAGCAAAATCAGTAACAAACAGTATTGGGCTCTGGCCGAACCGGCCGGGCCGATCAGGAGGAGGGCTGAACTCCAGCAAGGTCCGCTGGTTTTTACTGGAAGAATCCAGAAAGATTGGAGACAGATGATAGAGGAGGCACTGTGACTCTACCTCTCTACCTGACTCTCTCTCTTTCACCGTGCACACTCACACACACATACACACTGACGCCTGCTCTCTCAAATTTGTTGTATTTGATTGACAAATGAAAACCATTTGCAAAGAAGGAAAACAAATAAACTAGAAATAAATGTAGAGCTGCAACTAACTTTCATTATAGATTAATAAATACATACCTTTCAGTATATTGAATTGTTTATTCTGTAAAATGTCAGATGTCTGATAATGACTTGATATTAATAAGTAGTTCCTGAATAACTCCAAATCCAGGACCATATAGTCGAAAATGATGAGTAACAGACTGGGGGATATTAATGAATTATTAGTTAATGATTAATTTATGAATATCTGTGAATAGACACACAAGTCCTTCCTCATTTACTCAAACCAGCAACCACTCATTCATAACTAATTAGCCTACCAAAGCATTTCTCTTTTGCCCCCAAATTAAAGCATCATCATACAAAACTAACAATGTGGAATTCACATTTAGTTCAGTAATTACAGTGACCAGCACATAGTTAATGTTCACATCCACATGTCACATACTACACAGGTAGGCAAGCTATTATATATTTCCGATCACTTTTAAAACAATAGGCCTATCTTCCGTCAGAAATACCACGAGGAGATGCAGGTCCTTCCGTCAATCTCTT